AATAGATTAGAATAGAATAGAATAGAATAGAATAGAATAGAATAGAATAGAATAGAATAGAACAGAACAGAATAGAATAGAATAGAATAGAATAGAATAGAATACTTTATTGGCCAAGTGTGATTGGACACACGGGGAATTTGTCTTGATGTAAATACTCTCAGTATACATAAAGAAAAGATACATTCATTAAGAATCAAGAATCATAACGTACAACACTTAATGATAGTCATAGGGTACAATCAACAATCAAATCATACTAGGAAACAGTCAATATAAATCGTAAGGATACAAGCGACAAAGTTACAGTCCTACAATCACAAGTGGGAGAGGATGGGTGATTAGGAGTGATGAGAAGATTAACAGAAATAGTAGTGCAGACTTTGTAAATAGTTGAACAGTGTTGAGGGGATTATTTGTTTAGCAGAGTGATGGCTTTCAGGAAAAAAAATTGTTCTTGTGTCTAGTTGTTCTGGTGTGCAGTGCTCTATAGCATTGTTTTGAGAGTAGGACTTGAAACAGTTTATGTCCATGATGTGAGGGAGTCTGAAAATATTTTCACAGCCCTCTTTTTGACTCGTGTAGAATACAGGTCTTTGATGGAAAGCAGGTAGGTAGTAATTGTTTTTTCTGCAGTCCTAACTATCCTCTGAAGTCTGTGTCTGTCCTGCACAAAACCAGACAGTTATAGAGGTGTAGATGATAGACTCATGTTTATACTTATATCTATTATCTAATACATGCTTGACAAATAAATAAATAAATAAATAAATAAATAAATAAATAAATAAATAAATAAATAAATAAAATATTCATTGGACATGCTTTGAGCTAGTCTGACTTCTTAAAGACTAATTTTGAGAAGTGGACATGGTAGACAAGCAATCTCTTTCATTGCTCAAGATGTGACTGACAACTATCTGTGAGGGAGAAGGGCAGCACCAGTTCTTTGCCATCAAAACTTCACAACAAGCTGAACCTCTGGTTGTAGATCTGAAGGATCTCTTCCAAGTAAATAAACAAAGGCATTTGTTGGTTTGGAAAATATTGTTCTATTGATGCAGCCTAAAATTATTATTTGACTTTATTGCAGTCATGTCATACTGCTGAGTCAGTCAGTTTCCTGACTACAATTCCTGTGTCAGTCACTGTTACACTCCATTAAAAATAATAAGACAAGTTAGTTGTGACTAAAATTGATTAAATATTTGTATAATGGCTGCAATTCAACACCGTTATTACTGGCAATTCAATGCAGAGTTGTTCACTATTTTCCTGAGTTAATCAAGTGTTTTTTTTTAAGTTATAAGGTCCATTCAAAACTTTCTTCACATGACAGATAAAGAACAACATTGGCCCATGTCATGATTTAAAATTTAAAACCATCTCATGAACTCACTATAGTATGAACCTCTGATGCATTATTTATAAAGCAAATATATAAAATGAGTTTGATCATGATGTCAAATAACTTAAAGAAAAAATAATCAACACGATATCTATAAGCATAATGCAGACACCAGCAATTCCAGTTTATTTATTTATTTAGTGTATGGCAAATGCATGGACTTATAGTGGTTTAAATGTTAATGTCCAATCCACCCAGCCATTCAAGGACAAGGTGGTCTATGTTGAGAAAACCAGACATTGGCCAGTGTAAGCTCTTGATGGACATTCGGACAAAATGTGATGGATATTTTGTTGAGGAGCACCACAGTCACACTGAGGGGTAGACACAAGATCTCACTTAAACAATGAGTGCTGGCAGACGCCATGTTGGGTATGGATCCTGTTCAGAGTTGACCAATGATGGCATGAAAGGTCAAAACCTGGCACCTTTCCCCAATCTGTCTTGTTCTTTGGGCTTGAAAAGGCCCATTTGTTTATCCTTTGCCATGTATTTAGAGAGCCAGGAGTTCTACAAAAGTGTCTGACTTCCAACTGTCATTAACTGCCAATTGTTCAATGTAGTTTGGCTACCAATTGTTGCTAGTTGTTTGGTTCACACTACTGTGCTATCCAGAGTGCACCATGAGGAGGTGAATTAGCATCACACCCCAGTAATTCCAGTAATGATACTATTAACACACTGATATCTTTAAAAGGTTTATTAATTTAAACGGAAATTGAAACTGACATGCTGTAAAAAAAAAGTTCAGCTGCTTATTACGGCCAATGTTTCTGAGCCTATAAGTCCATCTGAGATGGAAGAAAGAATCTGCAAAACTTATTTGCCAATAACTACGACAGCCATTTTGAAAAAAAAAAGAGAGAATCATCCCCATGATCTCCTTCTTACATTTTGTGAAGGGGATATCATTCAAATTTAAAATTCCAAATAACTCCTTTTCCCAAAATATTGTTTACTTTCTGTCAAAGAAAAATGGTTTTCCACAAAGAAAAGTAACTTGAAAACTGAAGATTCCTATGTTTGTTCTGTTTGTTTTTTAATTCATTTTAATAATTTTACACTTAAGTTCAATTTAGAAGGCTCAAAGTATTGTTGAAACTGCAGTATTTCTTGTCAGAAACAGATTTCATAAACTCTTCCTTTCATTAATGTATACTTATTTATTTGTGAATATAAATCCAGTATACTCTTACTTTAATTACCGTATATACTCGAGTATAAGTCGACTCGAATATAAGCCGAGGCACCTAATTTTACACAAAAAAACTGGGAAAACTTATTGACTCGAGTATAAGCCGAGGGTGGGAAATGCAGCAGCTACTGGTAAATTTCAAAAATAAAAATAATTAATTTGGGAAACGATCTCACTATCATGAAAGGTTTAATTGATTCACTAACCCAAAAAAAGAAGATGATGATGACAGCGGGAGGCAGGAGTCACTCTCTTCCCCTCCCTC